TCGGTGAAACTCCGACGAAACAGTTTGTCACAGCCCCTCGTTTGTTGTCCTCTTCTCTCTCTCTGCCTACGGTTTTACCGGGCAGTTCTGTTTGTGACAATATATATATATATATGAAACAGTTTGTCACAGCCCCTCGTTTGTTGTCCTCTTCTCTCTCTCTGCCTATGGTTTTACCGGGCAGCTCTGTTTGCGACGATATATATATATATATATTACCGGGCAGTTCTGTTTGTGACGATGTATATATATATATATTTTTAATTATTGTTTGGCTCGGCCTGGCAGGTGGTCCCTGGTGGCCAGTCTGGTAACCTAGCCCATGAAGGCATTCCTTATGGAAATTGATTTCCCCCCAAACAAATCGCATGGTGACATGTCGACTGCTTTGCCTTCCAAGCTGCTATATTAGTGCAACAGTAACTCCATCCATGTCCATGACTCTCATCATGTGTTGTCACTGCAGCATGCAGTGGTGGAGGATCTGAATTTTCTTGAGAAGTTCAAGCAAGATTGCAATTGCAGGCATCTTGATTCCTCTGGCTATTCTCATTAACTATTCTCTCCAAGGTGCTGATCTATGTCTTCTATGTTTTGAGTCTTTGAGGTTAAGTTCATGTGGGCATGAAACAAGGACCGAAAATGCAGTGACGATTGAGCAAACAAAGTGACATCTGGGTCTCATGGTCGTCTCCGGCACCCTTCCTCACCCTTGTCATTTGCCGATTGAACCCCACATCTGTGATTTCTCAGCAGGCAAAGATAAAGTCTAATCAACTGAGCTGGGGTGGGGACACCGATGACGACTACAATGCAGCCACAGCCATCGATTCCTCAAGGCTTTGGAGGGGATCGCCAATTGAAGAAAGATATTCTTCTTGTCTGTCAAGCAGACCATGACAATGTTTTCACAGCCATCGATGAACTGGCGTCTCGTGAAGCAGAGTGGGAGCCCATGCTTGGTGCATTATTGCCAGACGCCAACCGGCATACGCGGCTGAGGCAGGAAGCCCAAGAGCTCTGCACGAGGTTTCCGATTGGTTCGGATCGGCCGCTCCTTTTTGGGGTGCTTGTTGGGGTGAAGGACATTATCCATGTCGCGGGGATGAAGACGCGAGCAGGCAGCAGACTCCCACCCGAACTGCTGGAAGGGGAAGAAGCGGAGGTGGTTGCGAAGCTGCGCGAGGCGGGCGCCCTGATCCTGGGGAAAGTGCAGTGCACGGAATTTGCGTTTTTCACCCCTGCAGCAACCCAAAATCCTACTGCAGTTGGCCACACTCCTGGTGGTTCCAGCTCGGGGTCAGCGGCTGCAGTAGCAGCTGGTCTATGCCGTCTTGCGCTCGGGACACAAACCACTGGGTCTATTTCTCGCCCCGCAGCATATTGTGGCGTCGTTGGGTATAAACCATCTTACGGAAGAATTCCTTTGACAGGTTCAGTCCCAGCCTGCAAACCCACAGATCACATGGGATTCCTGGCTAGCGACATGGAGATCCTAGAAGCAGCATGCGCAAGCTGCCTTAGCAATTGGAAGCACGCGGTAGAAAGGGGTCACAAAATTCCGGGAAACGGGGACGGAGGGACTGGCGTCCTCGCCGTCCTGCAAGATGGAGATGGTGATCGCGAAATGGGGGAAAGATCAAATGCAGAAGGGGCAGTTGTGGGCAAAATGGCAGTGCCAGCACAGTGTGCGCCGAGTTACGGAAAGCGGAGGCTGTGTGTACCCTTAGGACCACTCATGGAACTTTGTGAGGCTGATGTGCTTGCATCCTTCGAGGACACACTTCAACAATTGAGCCAATTGGGGTGGGTCATTGTTCGTCTAACGGCATTCGATGATTTAGACATGATCAGAGAATCTCACCGCCGTCTCATGCGGTTTGAGTTTCTGGAAACTCACGAAGCCTGGATCACGGAGTTTGGACATCTGTACAACCTGGAATTGTTGTCGTTCATACGGTCTGGTTCGGAGGTCACGGAAGCGGAAGCTATAAGGGTAAGGGAGGCATTCAAGGAACTGCGCCACCACATTCGCGACTTCATGTACGAGCACGACGTCCATGCATGGATCACGCCAGGGGCCACAAGTGCGCCACCTGCTGGCCTTGGATCTACTGGCAACCCCTTCATGCCTGTGATTTGGTCCGTGGCGGGCTTGCCGTCGGTCACTCTGCCATCTGTGTTTCTCCCCATGCCCGACTCCATGGAGTGCAGCAATTCATCTTCAGCTGGAGTACTTCCCATGGCAATCACGTTGGCCGGGAGATGGGGTGAAGACGAGGAGATACTTCTGCTTGCTAAGGAGATAGAGAAGGCTCTTGATGTTCCCGCACCGAAGCGCATGTCCTCCTGGCTCAGAAAGATTGCCACATGACAATTCTTTTTTAGAAGCTGGCCCAAGGAAAAACTTTCCAGACAGAGCCTGAGGGTGAATGCATCGAACCTGCACAACAACCTGATAAGCCTCTTTCACGAAGAAGGCCTACCCTTCACACAAATGTTGCTCTCGCTCGTAACATTCTCTTCTTGATACGTTGAATAAGCGATACATGAAGGATGCAGTCGTAGTGCAGCGTTATCTTCTACCGGGCTCGCATTCCTTCGATCTGTACAGCGTCAGCATGCAATGTAGTAGTTGTGTCGAAGCCCCCATATTTTATCAAGGTAATGTCGTAGTTGTGTCGAAGCGGCCATATTATATCAAGGTGGATGCCTGAACCCCACCACAGATCTCCATTGGAGACAGTTCAACAGGAGCACCAGCAGTAGCAGTAGCAGTAGCAGTAGCACTAGCACTAGCAATAGCAATAGCAATAGCAATAGCACAAGCCATAATAGCTCCAGCAATAACACTAGCAGTGGCACGAGTAGTAGCTGTCATAGTTGTTGCTGTTTCCATTAAGGATAAGTTTTGCTTTATGCTGGGACCTTTAGGGACCAGATGTCTAGCTACAACTATGTTCATTGTTTCGGGATGTCATGGTAGTGAATGGCATCAATACAACTACTAATAAAAATCACGAGTACCATCCAGTACTAATATATGACAATAAAGAGAATAGTAAATAGAAGAATGGGATCCCAAGAATTGAAGCGACTTTTTTGCCGCCTCGCCTGCTGCTTATAACTACGCGTGTCATCAACTCGTCACCGTTCCCAACTGCCACAATATCTGTTGTATGTGAAGCCGTTCACTGTCTAGTAGTTCCGGTAAACAACCAGTCCCTTTCCCAGCTACACTGCTCTGACACGGCGATCAACCCGCCACGTAGTTCAGGGCTTGGGCCTACCGGACAGTAATGGGTGGCAGTGGCGCCAGTTTGCATTTTTTCCTTTAGCACGTTGCAGAAATTCCGGTCGGAAAAAAGAGGCTTGGATGAGATGGTGGTTTAAACCACCACTACTTGGCCCAGCTATCGGCCACGGAGAAAAATAGAATAGAGTAGAAACGTTGTACCGTCTTCACCCAAAAATAACGCCCGGGCGTTGTGTACGAATAGAACGCCTGCCGGGCAGTATGTTCGTTTATAACGCGCGGGGCGTTATATTCAGTAAATTTCTGGTAACTTCGGTGAGGCCCCAAAATTCAGAAGAAAAACAAAAATCAAAAAATTGTGTTAAACAAAAATGTTGTCCAGGATTGCAATGCGACCAACTTTTGGCTGAGGTCCAGGGTTGGGGAATGTCAGGGCAGCGGTCAGGATGCGGCCAACTCTGCCTCTGGACTATAATCCCCAACGCCTGCACCATAAACTGGGTAATGGTCCCAGAGTGACTTTTTCCGGGTTGAATGTGGAGGGATTCCCGGCCTCCCTCTTGTTCATTTTCTAATGAACTGCAAAGTTGGTAAAAAAAAAAAAAAAAAAAAAAAAAACTTTTGGCTGAGGGTCACTTCAGAATTTCTTATAAACTCGGAAATAAAAAATCAAAGCGAAAACTGAAGCCCAAACCCATCTATACTACCTCTTCAAGGCACTCTGCCCCTCGAACATTCAAACATAACGCCCGGGCGTTCTATTTGAAAAAAATGTGAGTAAAAACGAAAATCTCATCTTTTTAGGGTAAGTTGAATATAACGGCCGGGCGTTATTTTCGGGTGAAGACGGTAGTTGGATGAATTTGGGCACTCCTGTAGTGGCCCAAACGTTTCCTAAAATTGTGGCTTTCATAACTTTAGCAAGTACTGGTGGTTTGAGTTAAAAAAAAAAAAAAAAAAAAAAAAAAAAAAGCTCCACTGACCAAAGGCTTAGGAATTCTGCAGCCACATATCATCAGTGGGGCCTGTGCTCAACTCTCCACCATGCTGCCAGCTGGCCTACAATCTTCACCCGAATAGAACGCCCGGTCATTATAGCCGTATTTGGGGCAACTTTCAGTCCAGATGCAGCCATAATGACCGGGTGTTTTATTCGGGTGAAGACGGTAGCTCCCATGAACTGTTGATATAGTGAGCTGAGTTCGAATCCAAGATGCAACCACATGTTATTAGGGGGAAAAAAAAGAAAAAAAGAAAAAAGAAAAAAAAGCACTCCATCATGCTGCTCTTTCTGATACCATCCGCTCTTTAGTTGCCCTGTATGTTACCTTGGCATCTAAAGGTCTGATCCCACCACTACACTACGACCGTAGTCGCCAAAAAGCACTACAAAGATGTCAGCGGCTGTGGCGGAACGAAGAAGAAAAATTGGATCCGACCAGGGCGACTTCTTCGGTGCCTTTCCTGAACCCGCGGCGGTTCTTTGTGGGCTGTTGCAGAGGGCAGCCAATAGAAATGCTGCAAACGGACGGAAAAAAATAAATAAATAAATAAAAAAAATTGCTTCCTCTTTTTCGCTGCAGAGATGCCCTCACGGTCTACACAAAAATCGTAGCAACTACGCTTGCACCATTCGCGGACGTGCTGCCACGACACACACAAACGAAAGTAGGGCAAAACATTTCGGCGGCCGCGACGATGTCGGAAAGTGGTGGGATCCGAAAACTACAGTGTAACTGGGCTGTAGTGTAGTGGTGGGATCAGGCCCTAAGGGGCATACTCACACTGAGACTTTTCTAAATGTATCTGACTGCAACTACGGCCAGACCTGGATGAATCTGACTGCAATCACGTCCAGAGCTTAGTAGAAAAAGTCCTAGCGTACGTATACCTTAGTGTCACGTAGAAGTGAAGTAACTCAGAGCGTTCTTCCTCTGTTGGCCTGGCTCATCAACAGCAACTGCCAGCATCCTCTCTCTCCCTGTTTACCTGGCTTATAAGCAGTGCTTCATTTTGTAGTGTTTTTTTCTTTTTTTTTTCTCAATTTATGTGTGGCATCCTTTGCTTGCAGGGGTCATGGTGATCTTCTCTGCATTGTTCCAATTTTAGCCGATGTCCAGAAGGACATCCGCAGCGCTTCCCAAGGACTCACAGAGAGACATTTCTGACAGTGTGGCTTCCAGATTACTCTACCATTACTTCTTTTTTTTTTTCAAAGGCTAATTCTTTTATGCCCAACCAATTCAATTACCTGTCAAATCTGGACAGGACAGCCTTTCAGGCCTTTTTTATTGTCATTATAGTATTACGGGGAACCCCGTAGCAGCCACATCCGTGCTCAAGCCTCGAACGAGGGAACATGCGGGAGCTGCACCCACCAGCAGGTGCGACACCTGCTACAGCAGATGGGCGATACTGGCCAGGGGTCAGCCGGTAGCATCAGGACCGAGCTTTTCTTCGATGGGCCAGTCGCTGTGCCTCCCCTACGGTCCCCTCCCCCTATGAACATCAGCAGTCTCTGCTCAATGTCACTCGGGGGGAAACGGCATATCTCTAGGTGGCGGGCGCCAAGCTTGGCCAGTAAGGTGCATGAGGCCAATGGGGATTGAGCGCAAGACCTCCTGAATGCCACTTGTGTGCCTTACCAACTGAGCTAGGCCGCTGAGATTAAGCTATTTCCGGCATCAATCCACTTTGTGGTGTGCTCTATTTCCGGCATCAATCCACTTTTTGGTGCGCTCGCCAAACCAGTTTTTTATGTGTGCATTACACCTGGCCAACCCTCTCGTCCAAATTGCCCTTGCCCACTTTCGCAAGTTGGGCTTCTGTTGGTTATGCTTGACACACATGTTGCCTTCACACCGCTGAGGGGTGAAAGTAAGCTATAGCCAGATAGAAAACTCCTCCTTTTCTTTTTTTCGAATAATTTTTGGACGATTGGACCCATTCTGACCATCGATCTCGCAGATCAACCTCCATCTTCTGCACCTCTCCGCAATCGCATCCAGATTTAGGCGTTGCTGATCGACAATCAGAAAACGTGTCATCTCTGCACCACAGATGGAACCGCAGCACAATCAGACAATGCGCCCCGCCGCACTACTTGCGAAATGTGCAAAAGGAAGGATGTATATTCCGCTAAACATCCAAAAGGATACACCTGTCGTAGCATTTGTTTTTTTTCTTTTCTTTTCTTTTCTTTTTTAAACCACCAGTTCATACGTTACCTTCCAAGGGTCGCATGCATGACGCTGTGCCTTTTCAAAGTGGCTTGCAGTGTTCACTACCTTGCTCAGGCCCGAATCGAAAAGAAGTTCGTACCATGTAAACCGGTAAGAGTACTGGCCTCTACAACACCTTGAACTTTCGGAAAAAAAAAAAAAAAAGAGAGAGACAGTACTACTCTACTTCGGGTGAACCGCCTGTTTAAACCACCAGTACTTCCTAAAGTGGTGCCCGTTAACATTAAACTAAGCTATAGTGTGTTCTCAATGACTTGCCTGCACTTCTTTATTTTTTCTCGTCCCTCTTCCTCACACTATGCGTATTACGAGGGAACACCTGCCAGGTAGGAGGAGTGTATGCTCTTTCCGTCACTCCTATCTGATGTCACGGGTGGTTTTTATTTATTTCAAAAAAAGAAGAAAAAAGCGTGGGGGAACACCAGCCGACCTGGATCCCTTCCCAACTCACGGGGTAGGGTTTGCATAGTAATGTTGGTGCGAGAGCAAGGCTATACCAGCCCCTCACCACGATGATGTGGGAATGGGCAGGCGTTGCTGGCAGGGGAAACCAGCATTGCTAGTGCCGAGCACTATGGGCAGTGGCTGCAACTCCCCCTTCTCTCCTCCTCCCCCTCCTCCCCCCCCACCCCTGTGACATCCAAACCTCAAGCCCAGTGTGACTGCCTGTTTCGGAGTGATGGTGGGCCTGGAAGTGCGAAAAAGGGGTGTGCCAAGGATTTTAGGAAGAATGGGGGTGGAGTCCCAGGTCGGAACTGAGATCTCCTGCGTCAAGTCTCAGGAATATGAATGCAAGCGGATGGGCGAAGGGCGAGGCTTCTGTTCTAGGCCTCGTGGAACGGGGCGGTCACCTCCATTGGTCCCGCCGCCTGGGACCGATTCGTATTTTGAGTACCATCGGGACGCTATGGCTGTCCCGTTGGTACAGCACCCGTTGTCGGCGGGTTTCACATATCTCCTTTCGGACGTGGCCGGCCTTAGCCGGAGGCTGTGCTCCCGTTGTTCGGCTTCTGAGCGGGTTCGCCGGATGAATCCCGATGCTCGGTAGGCGTGGTCTCGCAGGCACTCAGAACATTGTGGTTGTGGCCAGTAGGGGGCGAGTACACGCCAAGGGGCAATGGTCAGGGAGTGAAAGGGCAATAGATGGTGATAGGGAGGGAACTTTGTTTCAAGGATAACAATACCGGGTTCAGCAATGACCTGACACGTGTACGAGCTGGGGCAGTTGGGGAAATGGGGAATACGTTCTAAGGCCCGCCCAATATCGCACTAGCCGATGCGCTCGGTTCCTGTTGCGTACGGAAACTCTGGGAGCTCTGTCCTCGAGCGTGCAGAGAATCATGTGCATTCCCAATACTCTCGGAACTCGCGGTCAGTGATACGAAAGGGAGTCTCGATATTCATGCTGCGTGGTGGGGTGGGAATCCATACATTCGGGGTGCTCGACAGGCAGTCTGATTGGGGGCAGATCTCGTAGACACACGTGTACGCGATAACCTCCCCCGGCCGGGCGTATACGTGCGTGCACAAGATCTTCCTTCAATCAGGCTGGGAATTATCGCAGTTTTTAGTACATATCAACCCGTCGGCAAAGAGTTGTCGCTTGGTAAGCTCAAGGTGAGGCAGTCATCTAATCAATCGGCATGCTTATCCATATTACAAGAAGGAAAAAGGCGAGGAAACGACAAACACTCATGCATCAAAACATCCAATCACCTGCATCATTCCATTTCTGGGAACTAACTTGAGACTCTGAGAGCATACGTGGATCGAGTGTGGGCAATCAATTGACCGAATCGGCAACTAATTAGGAGGGAGGAGCAGGGGAGGGATAGACTCAATCATTCATCACTTCTCATAAAAGAAAGACCCGAGATAAACACGAGCGAAAAGATGGCTTGCGCCAGACATCAAAATTGCGCAGAAGAATCGAAGAAAAGCACCATTCCAACACATCCCGTTTTTATCCTCTCTCTCTCTCTCTCTGTACACCACCCTGATGCGGGAAGTCCGTTGCGTCGCACCTACTACTCGCACAGAGTTGTCACCCCGCTTAGTCTGAACACGCAAGCCAGGATTGGCCGTATGCCACAGTCCTTCGCAGCCACACGCCAACCCTGCATACCCAACACCAGCCCATCAGATCGCCCAACTCCCTACTCACCGTTTTGCTCCTGCCCGTTAGCCGATCCTCTCAACCTTGCTAACTTCAAAGTTGATTAGAGAGCGAGTTGATCGCGCCTGCAAGATTTATAGCATGAGCATCCGCGCGAGGTAATCGGGATTGTGCCCGAGTGGGAGGAAAGAAGAAGGGAGGAAGTGCCTACGGTTGCATGGTCAGGCCGCGGCATGGGGGACGTAGCCACTCTTCACACATTGATCCAGTCATGCACCGTTCAGGCCAATAAGATCGAGGAAAGCATGTGCGCGCAGGGGTGTGACGAAGATATCAAGAAAGAGAAGATTAAAGTTACATTTGCGCTTGCCAAGAATATTACAGTTACGTGCGGGATTAAGGCGCGGAGAAACCAGAGCACAGACCCTGGCGCAGCAAAGCGCGCGCAAGCAAGAAGCATCGTGCAGTTGCAGGCAGAATTACGATGCACCCAAATTCCAAGCCTAATTTAAGATCCTCATTGCAAAAAGAAATTCCAAGAAAATAAATTCTAAGAACCTGTGTGGGCTCGACATCAGTTGAATATTCAAAAAGATTTCCCCTCGCGATGATCGCGCCCAAAATTTCCCAACCTCACACCAAAACAAGAAAGAAGTTATGGCAACAGTTATTTTTGCGCTCGCTAAGGCGCTATCAATTACTAATCGTCGTGGGACCACCCTTTTTCCAAAAGACGAGGGCATTCGGGTTATTGGGTGGACCCTTCCCGATCAACCCCCGAAGTACCGCCGCGCGGAAAGTCGTGCGCTTACAGAAAGCAGTTCATCACATATGTGACGCCCAAGGGGTTCCAATCTCAAGCAAGCTCCTGCTTGCTCTCTCAACACCCAACGATCCCTCGAAAGAGGGGAAACACCAGCGAACGACGTCGAACTCGCACGTGCCAATTACCGTGCGATAAGAGTGTGAAAGTTATCCAGATCCCTCAATCTGAGTGGCATTTGAGTTTGAAGGGTTGAGAATCCTCGATACTGAATTGTGGAGTGTGGGGGAGGAGGTGATGATGCCATGATATGTAATACTCATGTCACCGACTTCTTTTAAAATTCCATTTATGTACTTTATGTGATTTTGTGATGTCCCGGGTCCTACGGGTTACCGGGGAAGGGCAACCTTATGACAGGGGGAGGAGAAGGGGGGTGAGCTTGCGGGAGGGGTGGCAAGAAGTGTCGAAGTTTTTGATCTCTGGTGGGAAGTCGAGTGTAGTGAATGGTGCGATGAATGTGGGGAAAGCGATGATCCTGATGGGGAAGTGAGGCTAGGTAGTCGGGATAGAGGATACAGAGAGTGCGGCGGATCGCGGCCCGAAAGTCTTCATAATCCTGGCACGCGGGGATAGTTCCCGCGATCATACAATAAAGTTCTATATTATTGTAGTCGTGCCATGTGACGCTAAAGAGAAGGATATGGAGAGGGAAGGAGGTTATGAGTCGGGTGGAATAGAGTTGGTAGAACAGGGAAGGCGGGAAGGGGTGCCAGCAGAGAGGGAAAGGGGGGAGGTTCTCGAGTTGATGGAGGGTGGGGTAATCAAGGGGACGACGGGATAACGACCGGGGACGAAGCCCAAGCTCCCGCATCTCCACGTATGTGAATGGCGGGCCGTGACAGAGAGGATTGAGGCGGCGAAGGACTTTGTCTTCTTCATCTGCTGCTAGATCCCTCCGTGGCGGTGACGCCATCTCTCTCAGGGTCCTCCTGCGGCAGCTCCGGATTCCGCGCGGGATTACGCTGCGACAGCCACGTTGCCGATCTGCCTAATTAATTCACAGGTCGCTTTCCCTCCGCCTTCTCTCGTCTTTTCTGCGCGGTCACCTCGTCCTCCTCCCTGCTTTGTTCACTGGAGCTATCCTGCTCCCCCGATCCACTCTCCCTAGACTCGATGTAGTCAGGGTCACCAGAATCTGTCCTCGAGCTTTCCTCCTCCTCTTCTTCTTCTTCTTCGCCTGCTTCTTCTCTCCGAACTCCAATCGGATGCCAGACACTGAGATCGGTTATGTCGTCGACGACCAGGTAGTTTCCCGTAGAGGGATAGTAACGATAGTCGGCGTCGATCTCCAAGCACGGCGACCACAACAGATGGAGCTCTAGAACTCGTGTAAGGGCGATAGGCGTAGGATGCTCGTCACAGCGGGAGAGGATGTTCTGCGATAGATCGTCGAGGAGCTGAGTCAGGAATACCAACACTTCACCTGTAATCAACTCTAGGTGATTTTTCCCCACCTTCCCAAACAGGACCCCCAACAGCTCTCCTTCTGTGTCCGTCCTCCATGCTTGGATCACCAATAGCTCTACTTCATCGTCAGGGACCTCGTCTTCGTCGGTCCCGGCTGGCTGCTCGGCCCAATGGAATACCATCCTGAGTAGGCAGAAGCTAAGCGCCACGTAAGCGTTCCACCACTCCCTCCACCTGGTGGTTTCTAGGATCAGCACGACCAGGTACTCGACTCGGAAAAACAGATGAGCGTCGGTGGTGGAATGCCAGAAGACGGGAAAGTCGGAGGGGAGTCTGAAGGTCAAAAGACGGTGCCGGTTCGTTGAGGTCGCGCCTACGAATCCCCCTCGGCGGCGGACAAGCGCGGCCAAGTCCACGACCCCGCAAGCACAGCCGCGCGGCCGCGCGACTTCGCGGACGCGTGGCGGCCGGTGGAAAGGGGGGTTGGGGATTCGGGAAGCGCCATGGGACGGCGCAACCCCAGCCCCACCCCCTCAAGCAAAAAAAAAAAAAAAAA